TTTATCTTACTCCTACCCACCAAAAGCTATGAATTGACTTGTTAGAATTTCAGTCAAGAGCACTGCTAAAATAGAGTGGGTTCGCTTTACTGAATCAGGAAGACACAAATATTGTTTCTACTCATTACCCCTCTTAGATTAAGCCAACTTCCAGAACATTTCAGACATCCAGATTCTGTCAGGCACAGCAGCACAGTAAGGTTCATTCGTCTGCCTAGAGGCTCTCCCCTAAGGCGGCAACCAGGGCTCAGCAGTAGCTGCTGGGATGCTTGCATGATGCAGCTATGCTGTCTTGGCCATGAAGGTGGTTAGCCTGAGGCTACTGTGTACTTCAGCGTGACAATGAGAAGGCAAGTGCACCAAGTTTGTTACCATGCATTAGCAACGACTCAGTCCAAATTCACAAAATGTGTTTATAGATGTTTGTATATTGGTTACTTCCAGTAACGTGACCTGAGAAACTGTCTCCTCATGGAAACAGAGTAATAAGATTTTAAAAATTCTAAGTCTTATTTGTTTGCAGATTGGTGGATGCTAACTTCGAAGTCACACTCAACTACATCAAGTATCACAATGTTTATTGATAGATACAAGTATATAAAATCAGGGCATGAACATGACTTGATAAATTAAGTAGACTTAATTTCAATACTATAATAAGAGGGACCAATTCAAATTCTCACCATTTGTTTCACACCCACAAAAACCACTTCAAGGGCATTAACGATCTCTCAAAACTGATCAGTTTTGTGCAAGTAAACCATGTTTCTTTTAAAAAGACGTGTGCACTTGCCCAGGCTCAAGGATATTAAAATCTAGCACATAAAGCCCATTACTAGAGGTAGAAATACAGGCAATATACTATTACGGCAACAACCATCAATTACAGTTAAGAATTTTTCTGTAACAACCAAATGGATAATCAAATATTGCAACAACTCAAGTATTACTGAGCAAAGTGCATTTCTACAGTATTCAGTGTTGCTATTCAGTTTTCTAACTTAAAACAGCCTATGATAACTGGCAGCAAAGAAGATCCTTGCAATAGACTGCCTTCTGCTTGAGAACTTATGATGTAAGTATTGCATGCTGCTAATATACTATCTAAACATTAAAGATACTCCTAAAATATTTGATGGTAGACTATGATTAAGACATTACACTACAAAAAACCTTATGCAGAAGGAAATCCTAACTGACGTGCTTCTGCTTTAAATATTGTGAAAACATTACAGCGGAATGAATTTTCGCAGTGGTTAGGTCAAATGCAGTTACATCATATCAACAGTATGTTTTGCACAATTTAAGGCTTTGGCTGGTTCTTTAGTCAGCTTCTTCCTCTGATTCTTCTTCTTCAGCAGTTTCTAGCCAGGTTAGCCACTGATTGACCTGTGAATTTGTAATTTTAAAGAATAGGTATTACAGAGAAAAACTCAGAAGCAGAAGCTTTGATTCAGGACCTAACTAGCAGCCTACTCAAGTTTTATGCCTTTTATAAGTGCGAACAGCCTCCAGGACATACTGCAAGTGTATTATTTGTATATTAGCTTTTAAGTTACTTTTAAAAGTGTTCATTATTTAGATTTGGGATAACATGTAAGCCATTTATGTAAGTTAGCTTAGATGCCCTTCCTTGGCACTGCTCCAACTGTATTTCAGGATCATCTTAGTATGAGACAGTGGCCCTTTCCAAGTCTGTATGTGTTAAAGCAGTGCTGTGGAGGGGAAAGGGGAAGAATGTAAGATTATAAATTAGATTTCTAGTTCTATTCCAAAACCACATGATCAGATTCTCTAAGAACAGAGCTAAAGTATAAATGCTGCAAGGATTGACTGAAACTAGTTTGTGAAGTAAAACACAAGGCATTGTAGGCCAGTGTTCCTCAAAGCTTGGCCCCCGGAAAACTGGTGTAATAATCACCCGGATCATGTACCACAGACCTATTAAACCAGAATCTCTGGGGTTAAGGACTGGGACTTGCTTTGTCATTTTAGAATCCCCTAGGGCTACAATTCCACTTCGTAAGATTGAAAATCAAGCTATAAGAAATCTAGAAGCAATCTCTTCTTTACTGGCATTAAGCATACCCAATCTTGCACAATCACCCAATCTTTGTAAGTGACTTTACTTAAAAAAAAAAAAAAATTAAAAAAAATTAGCCACCTCTGCTTTAACATCTTACATAAACCAGCACTAGGACTGAGGCCTTTCACTTCATAGCTGGTCTCCATTTTGTTACTAACTGCCTCCTTTACAGTAGTGGGTAACAGTGCAGAATGAGGTACAAACCACCGATTATTTTGCTTGTATTTCAGTTTTAAAGGCTCTTTGGTAAAATACCAAGTAAATCAGAAAAAACACCGTTTTTCTCGAGCAAAAGATTTACCTGGAACAAAGCCTTGCCTTTCCCTGGAAACTCTTGGGTTATATCTTCTTTCCAAGCCAAGAAAGCTTCTTCTTCAATAATTTCCATGTCATAGAAGTGAACAAAAAAGCGGAGTAACATGCCTAAAGACAGAATGCAATCTCATTATTTAGTACACAGTTTAAAAATCACCCCACACTTGCTACTCTGCTATTGGTCATCTCACCTTTTGGGAAGTTGCTGTTGTAGCAGTGCACCTGAAGGGCATACAGGGCACTGACCTGCAGATCGACATGATCGTGAAGGAATTTCTGCATTACTGGCTTGAAAGAAAGAAGCAGTTGTTTTTCCTGCTCTAACTGTTCTTTGGAAGGAGCAGAGGAAGAATCTGTTTCATCACTGGGTGGGTTTACTTCACTAGAAATATACTGTAAGAAGCTACAGAAAAAGAGATCGTATTAGAATGCAAAAGCCAATATTCCACCTTAAGAAACAGACAATTCTTAATCCTTTGCCCTGCAGACTTTTGATACAAGACCGATTTTATCTTACCTAGTCATTAAGATGTTCACAAACCCTTTATCTACATGAAGCTTGGGAGAGATGTTGTCTTTAATCCACTTATATATGGTCTGAGGGGATGGATCCAACTTTATTTGCTTCAACAGTTCCTTCTCCAATTTGAGGAGTGGGAATAAGAAACTAAGTCCCTTTCCTTCCAAAATCTCCAACATGCGATCCTTATTTTGATCAATTTCTGAAGAGACAAAGCCATTTGCATCATCAGGTAATGATTCCCTCAATGTACAAGGTTCACCAAACTCCTGACATTTAAAGCAAATCAGCCCTGGCTGGTGTGGCTCAGTGGATTGAGTGCCAGCCTGTGAACCAAAAGGTCACTGGTTCAATTCCCAATGAGGGCACATGCCTGGGTTGTGGGCTGGGTCCCCAGTGGGGGCATGTGGGAGGCAACCAAACATTGGTATTTCTCTCCCTCCCTTCCCCTCTGTATAAAACCTTCTTAAAAAAGCAGCAAATTAAGGTACTTAAAACTTGTTAACTTTTAATGGAAGTGAAATCTTATTTGTGGTAGGTAATGCCTACCATTATGTGGACAGGATAACCACACTGTCTGATCTATACAAATCCATTCAAAGTACCAAGGAATCTAGAGTTTGCATTTAAGGAACAACATGTTGAGCATTCTCTTACCTGGGAGCATTTTCTGCATATTGACCTTGCTTTGTTGGAAAAGTTCTGTTAACCATTCTCGATCTTGTAATTTAGCTAGTTGCTGAAGACAAAGTAAGAATAGAGGAAAATGGGTGCCACTTTCCAGTGGTTGAGCTAGTTCTGAAATGCTCACCAGCTCTGAAATGATGGCACGAGCTGCAAACTGTGCTAAATAGGATTTCACCAAGGGGATGTCAACCTCCAGTTTGGGGCACTGGTCCAATACATTCAGGAAAGCCTTAAAAGGAATATACACATGGTCAGTTTGTTCGCTGTCAAATTTGAATGGGAAGAGTTCTCACAGAATCAGGAAAGCGTTTTACCTGCATGAAGTTGTCACTTGTAGCTATCCCTTCCTGTTTGAGTAAACTGATCAAAGAACTTGCTTTTTCTTTATCTTCATCACTTCTATCTAGTGATAGGATGATTACTTTGCTTAACATCTCCGGGAGAAAGTGTTTAGGAGCCCTCATTTCTCTTACACCATTGACAGCTTCATTCGCATTTCCACTATTCAGGTATTCAGTCACAACAGTTTCCTGAAAAGAACACAATCCACATGTCTTAAGCGCTTTTTTAAAAAACTCGAATGTACTCCATATTTAGACTACGAAACTATTTGCAACTTACAGTTAGTTTAAGTAGTTCTTCCTTTGAAGGTGGTGGCTTTTTACTGGTCTTGGCAGGCTTTTCCTGAATAAGTGGTGGATTAGTTTTAAGACCAAGCTGAGGCGTCTAAAAAATAGTAACATCGTTATGTTTAGTAACAAATTTTTAAAAAATTGTGAATTTAGAAGGAATACATTTAAAAAATCATCAGACATCTTCAGAAAGTCCTAAGTAGAGAAAGTAATCATATTATGGTCAAATACCTGTCCCAGAGGTGGTGTCTGAGTGCGTGGTGGTTGTGCACTAGGAGGAATCATAGTTATCTGGGGCTGAAGCTTTGGCACTTGATTTTTATTCATTAGGAAGGACTGAGCAGGCCTCAGGCTAATCTAGAATTGAAAACAAATTAAAATAGATATCCAAGTTAACAAAATGCAGTTGAGTAGGTTACTAAATGCAACATTCTCAAATCCTAAGATTAATTCAGTCTATACAAATGTGATAATCTAGGACAGGAATATAAGTTTAACTAATAACCAAAAAGGCATTCCATGTGAACAGGTTTAATTTCTTACAATAAAACTAAAGATCTGATCCACACAAGAATAAGACTGTTAAATCTTGTATTTGTATCAGATTTCTCCTAGGATTAGCATCACTTAAATAACCAGAAAACTAGATTAAAAGTTTAGAAAATACATTGCTTTATTCTTAGTCATTCTATTTAGAGGGAAATCACAATCAAAATCTCAACATTTTCCTGCTCTCACTAAAGACTTTATTTAAAGAGGCTTGCCCTCATATCTCATAATCGTCGCTCATAGGACGCTGGATATACAAAAGAAAGAAAAAACAGTACAGAAAAGAGAAAAAGAAGGTAAAGAATTCCAGCATTAAGTCCTCTTAACGCATCTTTTTATAATCATCGGGCAATAGATTTCTAAATTGACAACTGTGGTATATTAAGTAACATAGGCAAATGTACCTCATCTGCATTAAGCTGTCCTTTCTTAGAAAACCGAGGTGGCATATCCTTCGACTGTCCTTGCAGCTGGGATAAGAGTCCCTGACTCTGGTTATGGTAGAGCTGGCTTAGCCCCTATTTCAGAAAGGGAGAGAGAGAGTCTAGATAAAAAGGGGTCCACAAATTATGGTAATAAAGTACCAAAGGGATGAGCCAAGCCATAAGGAAAGCGTAACTGGATTTGCCCAGAGAAAGTACAAGATGAAACAGGGAAGAATAAAAAAATCTAACCTAACCTTCAAATAAAGCGATGTGATTTTACTAGTACTTGACTAATCTTAAGGATTAAGCATTTCATCCAGTTTCAAGTAAGTGCCACAGATATATATTTGGTTTAGAAAAACACACATAACCCTAGTGTTTGCATTTTTTAAAAAGCAAAACTAAATCACACGTTACGGGATTTAATACTTGTTACCAGAACATTAAGTGTTTTCTTACCTGGCTTTTCATAAACTTGCCTCCCATCTCTCCAAACTGTGACTGTGTGGGAGGCATGATGTGTCCCCCGTGGCCATTGAAGAGCTGATTTGAACGATGTCGACCCATGGTGGGTGAAAATCTATCCTGGATAACTCCTGGACCAGTACCAATTCCGCTACCTTAAAACACATATATCGACAACTTTTTACAACTCTACTACTATGCTATGCTGATTTTTAAATTTAACCAACCACTGTTTTGTTCCAAATCACCTGGCATTTGTCCAAACATATCAGCAAGTCCTCCAAGTGGGTCCCTATCCATTTTCATCCTGGGTGGCATGAAAGGTCCCTCCAGAAAGAAGTCACTTCTCATCCCTTGAGCCATAGGAGCTGGAATAAACACTCCTAGATCCTTTAGAAACAAAGTGAATAAAATACTTCTTTTCAACATTTTATGCAAAACTAAAATTGTTATATTGGGGGAAAGAAACAGAAATACTTGTAGACTACCAGAGTACTATTTATATAATTTCCGAGGCCCACCAGGGGAGTCTCAAAAAAGTGTAAGGAGGGTCATTTGGCCATTATAATCTAAAAAGTGCACATGATATAAGAAACACACACACCACCCCCCTCCCCCCTAAACACTTACTTTTACTGCATCTTGACGGATTTGATTGATCGTCTTTGGTCCATTGTCAAGAAAAGCCTTGCGAGGAACCCAGTGGTGTTCTCGCAACTCTACTGTATCCTTAAATTTAATAATATTTTTAATAAATTTCACTTAATACTCTGAACAGAAAAAGTGAGCTCACCAACATAATGAAAGAAACCAGTTTTACCTGCAGCAGGAAACGAATCCTTGCTGGCAATTCCTTACTTAACATCAAGGAACACATTCGGGCAAAGTACTGATCCATTAAGGACTAGTGAGAGAGAAAAAAATAGTTAAAAGAAAGTGCTATGGCAAATGTATACTACTAAGGGTTTTAAAGACTTCTAGATTACAATCAAAGTTAATGACTAAATAGAATAATCCCTTATATCACAAAAGAAGTCACCTGATTTGAATAAAAGACAAACTACTTACATTATTTCTGTTAATAACATACATACCTTGGCTCGTTCATGGTCTAATCTAGGTCCCACTGTCCTCATTATCTGACAGAGGCATTCCAAATCCTCTCCCATATCTTTGAGTTGGACTCTCTTCTTCTTTTCCAAAAGCTACCAAAAGAAACAGCCTGCCGTTAACAAAGATCTTCTGTTTAGATATAGTACTTTTCCTCAATGTCTGCACTGACTCATAGTTCCCACAGTATCTAACACAGTACTTTCTATTTGGTCCCTATTGAAGAAATCCCTCCAAATTAAGCAATTTAACATGGGTTGGTGATCAGTTCTACCCCTACACCTCACTATACTGCATACTTACTTCCATGTCTAAAACACTGTAATAAGTTTTGCTGACGATCTAAAATACTTAGCCTACTAACATTCTTGCGGGGGGAGGCAGTGCAATATAACTGACTCATTTCCGGCAAATAACTGTGTACCCAGTTATCATCTAAGCCTAAATTACTTACTGTTTTGATGCACTTATGAAGGATAGATTCATGAATAAGATCAAGCTTTCCAAGTTCTCCAATGAATTTGATGTTCCCCAACATCTTGATCTTAGCAATGGCTCTCTGTTCCTCCTCCTCAGGGAGGAGGGGATTTTCACGCTTATCATAGACTGGAAAAAATAGAAATAAAGTCAACATTCAAAATTAAATTGAAAATGTACAGTACTATTAAGCTTCAAATATAATTCTCACCATCAACATTTCTGGTTCGGTTTTCAAATTCATCTTGTAATTTGGAAATTAGGAGGCGTCTGAATGTCTATTAGAAATAAAAGACATTTGGCAAGTTTTACTAACAAAATCTTTTAAATCAACTTTAAAATAGGCAAGGCAAACACTACCACTTACTGTGCTTTGCTTCTGTCCTGGTTGACCCTCTGCTGCTGGGCCATCAAAGTTTGGTGCATCTTCTGCCAATCGCAGACATAGCTGAGCATACAATGAGCTATACTTTGGCTCTTCTAGGGCTTTGTCCACAATCTATAGGAAACAACATTTTTTAAACTAAATACAGTAACTTAAAGAACCCTTCTGTTATAATTTAATAATTCTCTGCAATCTTAATAATCTTAAATCCCACATTTCTTACTAATTCTTCATGCCTCATTTATAATTTGGGAATAAGAATACCTCTTTTGTAAGGATTACTATGTAAACCAAATTAGATAATACATATGAAGCACATAGTACACAGCCTGGAAAAACTCAAGTATTGAAATGTCAGCTATTAAAGCGTATTAAACAAGTAGTTATACAGATCTCATACTAGTCAGAACCCATCCCATTTCCCAAAGTTGAAAATATGCTGAAAATAAAAAATGTAAACGATACTGGAATGCTGTATCAACTATCATACAATTCATCCCCAAGATCAAAATATGGTGTTTCCCACAGCGTGAAAAAAATGCAAACAGCTTGCTTATGATAACTTTCCAAGCATATATAGTATGAACAATTTAAAATTCGCCTCTTAAATCTGAAGCCATTACTAATCAGTGGGTCTTTTAAAAAATCATCATTATTTAGAAATACTTTTATCTAGTTTGTATCTCATAGTTTTAAGCAATAAAAAAAAAGTGTAAAGAAACCAACTTGAGTTTGTTAAATATTTTCCTCCCCCTTTCAGTTAAGTCAACTTTTAACTTACCAGCAGTATGACCCCTTTAAGGATGAGTTTAGACTCTACACCCACATTGAGGAGCTCAAGGCATAGCTTGTCAAACTTTTCAGGAGTAAGCTTATTTAGTATGCTGGGGGGAAAAGGAACCACACTTTAAGTGTCAGCAAACATCAAGAATTACTGAGCTGAGTAACAACTTTAAAATTTTTTTTTCTATCATCTCCCATTAAACATCAAGGCATTTCTTCTTACCCATCTAACTAAAGGGATGTTTAAATAAACCCCATCACTGTTATTTAGATTATAATATCTGTACCTGGTTGGGGGTCCTTGACTGTCTGACAACTCTTTCGTACATGCTCAAAACCCAGAGAACAAGAGCTTCCTTGTTATCAAGGCTAGGTGCAGGAGCTACGGCCTGCTGTGTGCTCCACTGCGTCACACATCGGACAGGCAACGTCAGCACAACAGGCAGAAAGCAACTCAGCCCCCAAATACTGATGGTACTACTCTTTAAAACTGTCAACATTGGCATTCGTTAAAATACATGCTTTGAGCATGAAAACTGTCTTCTGAGTAACACAGCCTTTCCACAAAAGAAAATGCAGCTAATCCCTCCTTCTTTCCTCCTTTTAGTAAAAGGATCAAAGAGACCTATAAACTTACCCTCTTACTTTCCTGAAGATCGCATCATGTCGTTCTTTTTCATTTGCGGAGTTGTTTGCTGCGGAGTTGTCATCTCGTCTAGTGCTTCGTGCAGGAATCCATTTCTGAGCGTTTTGCCCTGGGGTTTTCCCCAGGAACTCGCTAGTAAAAATTAATTATGACAATTTAAAACACTGCATCCAGCCACACAAATCAAATGTCGTACTAATCAGAAATCCTTCTAAATACAGAAATTTCACTCAATTCCCTTACAACCAAATCTCACAATCAGTGCTTCTTAAACAACAGTGTGCGTGTAAATCACCTGAAGAGCTTTTCTAAGAACAGACTGCTGGGACCACTCCCAGTTTCTGCTTTAGTGGGTCTGGAGCAGAGCCTGGTAATTTACATTTCCAATACCAGACTCCCAGGTGATGCCAATGCCGCCACACCTTGGGAACCAACATTTTCTCGTTTTGTATGGACCATGTTGCATGATTAACCTAAATTTAGGTTATGTAGCAAAAATCATGGCCAATAAGGTTAGGATTGCTGGTATCTACTGCTGTAACTATATTGTTATGCATGACAAAGACTTAATACAAATTTGTTATTTGAAAAACTCATTGTTTTTATATCTTTACAATACCTGTTGCCAGCAGTCTTGGGATAGTGCTGAGGTGCACCCCTACTTCCTCCTCCGCCCGAAGAAGCACTAATTAAAAGAAAACATTTTAAAAATCTATACCCCAAATATCTTTCATTTAGAGAGAGAAAGCATCTCACTAACTGTTCTGTATTTTAGAAATTACACCACACACGGACACTGAACGTGGGCCAAATGGAAAGCCAAATAATCGATCACATTTATTTTTCATATGGCAATAGGAGATAATGAAAATTTAAGGACTTTAATAAAAATAAACACAACACGTTATAAATTAAATGTACAGCATATTTATTCAGAATTTTTTGGCGTGGTGATTCTTTTGATTCTGTGATCGGTTTCTAACAATCGCCCAAAATAAATCGACACAAACCTGAAACGAGAAGCACCCCCTTCTGCAATCGCACTCTCCACTTTGGCGGCT